AACATCAACCTCTGCACTATCAATCGACAGCACAAAATGTAAGTGTCAACGGAATGTAAATTTTTACATTAACATTCGTTAACAGCCCGACACGTTTCACGTACACAATTATGATCAATCTTCAATCGCAAATATTTTGTTTATGTTCAGGCACGACGTGCTTTACGCCGGTGTCATCGCATTCTTCTATTTGTCTTTTTTTCCGTTGAGCAGAAGGGCAGCTTGTCCGACGTAATGTATTGTACGCGCCTATACGTGTTTCTTCCGGCAGATAGCAATTTTTATTCCGGATTCGAAATCATTTCCTGATATCATTAACAATTCTTTCAGGACTTCTTCTGCTGATAGCATCGCAACGACCGCCACATTGCGGCGGATATCGTTATCGCGCTTCGCATATGTGCACTGCAAATTGGACACAGCAAACCTGTACCTGCAGTGAAAGCGCTGAAAACGGTCGCTATCTGTGTGTTTATCGAATACACTGTAGTACCGATGGTAAATCTACCAAATCACTCTTGCAATAATAAATTTAATATTTAATTTTAATTAACGTCTTTGCCTCGTAAATATCGCGTTATACGTAAATGTTTAAAACTTAGAAATATCGAGCGCAACGCAAACTCGACACGTCGTGATATTGATCTTCTTGATATTTTTATTGATGTTAGTTCGTAGAGTGAGAAAAGATTCTCCATTATTCTTAGATATAACGATAAAATAATTACATTTATCTAAATTACAATTTGTTATTTTTGGAGCAAATTTATAATTATTTTAAAGTTGAAATTACGCAACTGTAAACAGTAAAGGGATTCTATTAAATATATGCAAAAATATGTGGGACGTAACACATTTACATATTCTATATTCATATTTACTATCTAATAGGAGGCAGTGGGGGCAAAATATATGACAAATCCAATTAGGTTTCGTCTGCGCCGATGATACCTTCAAGGCCGACCGGAAATTTCGAAGATGCGGCCCGTTCTCGAGAATTAGCACTGACCTAGGGAAGGCCTCGAGGTCGCCGATGGCACACATTCCGAGTGCGTCTATATTAAGTTAACTGCTTCATAGCTGTCGATTGGACCGCCGGTCGGCCACTGCCAATATATAGGTGGACGCACGTACAGAGCTGGACGCAGGGCATAGGCAATGCCAATTGCACGCATCCGCAAATTTGCCACCAACTGGCACGCTTATGTTATAGAGTTACTAGCGGCTCTATCTAAGTGGCTCCCTGTCTTTCCCTCCAAGGATGAAGGTGCCCCCACACCGGTGACTTTCCGAGCTTATATAGTTTCGGTGCGAGATCACGTGTAACGCGTCTGCCTGCGCGAGTCTGACCACGCGAGATCGGACGAGAGAGATCGGTTTATAAGAGATATCGTCAAAGAATATAAAGAATAAACAGCCATGTCGACCGCCGCCACGCGTTTCAATTTGTAAATGGAGATGCTGTTGGAAAGGGAACCCTCGAGCTCTCGGACGGAGGTTTGCGGAAGCGTAGTCGTGGCTATTTACTAGCGTGAGTTGACCATTAGTCGTGCCACTCATGCCGCTATTGACTGCAACAAGTAAAAAAAAGGGAGATACAGTCGCACGAATAGGTACGACTAACGCACCTGCGTAGCTCGTTATCGCGCGCGCGAAGTTGTTAGCACGAGCGATTGTACGCGGTAACCCTCGGTGATCCGTGACTAATGAGAATACCGTGATTATGAATCCCATCTATACGTAAGAGACCGCGTACGACGGATTGAGTTGCAATACGTTACCTCATTACATTCCGGAGGTCCTCCCCCTCCCTCTCCCACGTACTTTACTTCTGTTGCTTATTACGAGTGCCGATGCTAACCCATCATTGAACAGTCAAACAGTCATAAGTTGAACATCAAACATAATTTCGAAAATCCGTTTGAAACTTATTTTTGTATCGATCTTAAGACTTTCCCAGCCGGTATTTTGATTAATTAATTATCCTCCATAAATCTTAACGAAAATACGTTCTTTAATAATTAAAATAACACATTTGCAGATTAATTTAGACTTTAGACAATTATAATTTTACAGTGAAACTACTATTGTTATGAATTAAGTTAACTTTTAATTAGCGCAGAATCGGAGCATAATTTTTCTAAGAAAGTGCTGCGTATGCTTTTTTGTGTTTATAAATTTGGAGTGCGTGTATGACGTAATGCCGATGATATAACGACATACAATTTGACTTTAACCACTCCACAATATGCTATCGCTAAAAGACTTGGCTGGTCACGATTGAGCGATACTCTAGACAGCTCTATTGAAGGAACTACAATATATAGTCTCTTAGATACATCCTTGAGGATGCACTTCTATCTGTGAGATTAAATCAGCGTTAACACCAAGTAAGATAGACAAATAGTATGTTTAGACAGTCAATGACTGCCTGCCTACAATGCTAAATTAAATTAATTATATTTTCTAAGCTGTATAACACAATAATCGAGTTAGACAAATAAAAATATGCTTCATCTCGAAGAAGAGCATTCGCATTCGGGTTCTTCTTCATTTCGACGTTGAGATTCTCTTTAATATTTCACGTATCTCTTATTTCTCTTTATTAAAAAAAAAAAATAAATATGTATATATATATATATATATATAACCGTGTGGGATAAGCGGCGATAGTTTCTTAATAACTCGGACGATCTTCGATCTGTATTACGGTCCTAATCGCCGATCCGTAATGGCCACGTTTATGTCGGCGGCTACGATCGCGTCGGGCGATCATTTTAGTTCGGCTCGATTCATTGTTCAGTTTTTCTCGCCCTCTCCGTCTATGCCTCGCCTCCCGAGAGTCTTTTTCTAGGTCAGAAAATATACGACTATGCCACTGATTCATCGTAATACGTGTGACCGACGAGGGGGCCCCACGCACCTACCTGTATTGCCCGAGAGAGACTTCAAACGAGGTCATTTTAAGGCGATGCTTAGTAAATTCTTTTTTCTGTTATTCAATCTACGATGTTATTTGCTATTTTCACTGAAAGTATATATGCTTGAAAAAAAATTCTGAGAATTGCTCCAATAGTCATTCATCGCGTAGTATATCGAGAAAAGATGCGTCAGTTTTTCTTCAACGAATTGATAATCTCTATATATCGATACACGATGCATCAAGTGCGCACTGTATTTACTTGCGTTAAGGAAATCGAATAAAGGGAATTTCAGCAATGACACATAATAACTATTTCTATCAATCTTTCATACTTTTCCTTACTCAATTTTTATATCTTTATTTTTATATTAATTTCTTTTTTAATTTATTATGTCACTCTCTCTCTCTCTCTCTCTCTCTCTCTCTCTCTATTCAATTATTATCCTTTCGTTATACAATTGGTAAAGAATTAAAATAAGAAATTTCGCTTGTGCACTCACTACGAGTGTCTCGAGTACAAAAATCGTCGACGTCCCGCAGTGGTTCCGTTACTGTTTTGCCTTGCGCGCTCATTAACATATGTATTAACATTTTTCTTTGTCAAAGTGCAACGCCTACTTCCTGCCGCTTACACAACGTGAATCAGAGTCTTTATCTTCTTCGAGGACGTTTCTCGATAGTTTGACCGTCGAAGTCATCGGGGCATTGCGGCGGGGTCGTTATTGCAGGGTGAAAGATCCGTAATCCCGCGCGACCATGAAAGTCCTTGATTGCCAGGCGAAACGAACCGAGCGGACGATAGATCCTTCGTATCGCATCGATGCACTTACGAGACAACGTCGCGTAATGTTCCTGGAGATTATCTAAATGCCTTCCTGAAACGCGTTAACCTCACAGATAATTTAAAACCCGATTCATTTCCGGAACTGCTATCGCAAATTCTCGAAGCGAACCGGATTCCTAGTAGCGGGCGTCTCCTCGGATTGGAAGAAAAGATACCGAACGTGCAATTTCTCATTTAAGAGGAATTTAACCTTTGATAAAATATACACCGGTTCTCGCACGACTTATCGCAATTTCAGGAATCAATTTTATTATACCCACGCGAAATGTAATTAATATGTATTTGTTAAAGGTTACAGTGCAAATAATTACTGTGAATCAAATGATTACACCATTCATTGCTTAATTTAGATTTATGTGGCTTCTTATGAGCAAAAGTAAAGTTCTAAAATTATTTCTGTGTTTCTTTATTAATCGATTAACTTGAAAAAATCTGAAGATTTGGAGAAATTTTTAAAAATATTTATTTTTGATATTCACGCATATATCAAAATCATCAATGAATGATGGCTCTTACTATAATACGCGATCTACGTAGTTTGCTTTATTCGGTCGAGATTTATTGTTGCTTCTGAATACGAGTAATAAGTAGTTGGCAATGAAGATGCAATTAAATTCTCATAGCTTCCGTGTGTAAATTGATTGATTAAATTCAAGATAGTAAATTGCGTGCTGCTTTTTTCAAGGTATTAGGGCATCTTACGAAAAACTGATTAGATTTTAATCATATTTTCTGAGGTTACGATTCTAGTAATTAGATTTTTTACGTAATGCTGTAGAAAACTCATGAATAAAAGTTTTGAAAAACAGATATATATCTGTGCGAAATTTATACACACATACATGTGATAGAAGTTGTATTAGATATCAAGATAATTCAGCTCGTTATATCAATGATAATATCGAATTACAAATTAACATGACGTATCAACGTATTGCAATACGCACGCACTGCGATAAATGAGATGCTAATCGCGGTAGCTATTTATTAATAATTCGTACCCGAGATCTGTATAAAATCATAGAATTTATGCATCTTATTATCGAACCGGGGTTAATTAAATTTCTTTAAATAAATCGTCTCTCACTTCTGCCTGCTTTCTGTCTACAAGATACCACACGATATCTCGTACACGAAGTTACGCAGTGATTATATAACTGTACTTATCCTGTAACTTGCAGAAATCTTAATTATAATCTATATTATAATTACATTAAGCTATAAAGACAGATATTGATGTTATGTTATTTGGATATATTTCTCCGAAATTTACACACGTCATACTATACGATGTCGTTGTGACAGAAAAAATTTTCAAAACAATAAATTAAAAAGAATTAACAGAGATAATATACGCACAATATTAAATAAATAATATAACATGTCTCGTGTCGCGTGGATCACGCGGTGACAAATTATCAAAACTGGCGCGATATGAAAATGTGTTAATAAAAGTTAACGTTCCACTGACAAAACTGGTGCAACAAAATTGCGCTGAGTTCAACTTCTCTCTTTAGAAACGATGGAAGAACAGTGTAAATTAAAATTGAAATTGTGGTGCAATTCTTTTGCACTAGTTTTCAATGGAACATTAATTTTTATTAACACATCTCCTTACCGTGCCAGTTTTATGACTTGTCACTGATGCATGACCCATGCGGCACGGGGTGTGTATGTTAATAGAAATCAATAAAACTAGATAATAATATAGGCGTCAAAAGATATAATTGTGCGTATGTAATAGTACAACTCCTCCATACTTCGACTGTATATTAATTAATGCTAATTTAAATGCTTTATTAATTTCTTCTCATTGAACAAGGAACACTAACAGGGGATCAATTAATTTTAGATAATGTTCACGGAACTTCTCTCACACGCGTCTCACTGTCAGGTAAAATTACCCGGAAGAAAACTACTCTGTCTCTCTTAAATTTGTACTGGCTATCAGCTACAGTTAAGCATCTATTACGGGCTCCAGGCAGCGCTGGACAACTGGCAAAAGTCCCGTGGATATCATACGTGCGCCTGTCGTGCCCGATAAAGATCCGTTGAAAACTTCTGCTGGGCATCCGCGGAATGGGTGGACGACGTTTATTGCTGAAAACACCGGTCCTCGTAAGCATCGGCTTACTCCGGCCACCTGGCACCACTACACATTCGCGCATGCAATACGCGGTATACTCACACTTCCCTTGATTAAGTCGCGAGAGACATGGCCATCGGGTGTCTCGGCGATTCCGTCACGCCGATTCCGCCGGTTCACCAAGAGGAGAGCGACCGGCGGCGCGGCGTGGCGTGGCCCGGTGGCGCGGGGCGAAGCGGTGGAGCGGTTGCGGCTGCTCCTACCACTCCGCACGAGCGCTACCAGGCGTGCACCAGGAGCCACGATGGTCGTGGTGGGGTCGTTGTCGCGTAGCCGGCATCAGGAGAGAAGCGAGGTGCGGAGTGTGTGAGTCGGTAGGCTTGGCCCTCGCGAGCGAGAGAGCGGAGTCGCGGCCTGTCAGAGTCCACAGTCCTAACTCGGCCTCAGGCTGCGATAGATCGTATCTTTCGCGGCATCGATCCCCGCCGCGGTGTACAGCAGTCATTCAATCCTCGCGATCAAGCGAGTCGCGCGCGATAGCAGTCGCCGGATCGCCGGAGCGTGCAGCGCGCGCGCACGCGGCGCAACCCTCTTCTTCATCGCCGGCCGAATCCCCCTCCGACCGATCGCGAGTGATCGAACGACCTTCGACCGGTATAGCGCGAAAAATCCCCGGCGGGCGACTCGACTGTTCCTTAGCTCCGCCGCGGAAATCGTATCTCCACGCTTTCCCGCCGATCGTCATCAAAGCAAGGAAACACGAACGCGAGGGCGAATTATCGCGATCGCGTTCGTAAAGGAACGGGATATTGGGATACTGTTACGAGAGGTAAGATTATCTTTTCTTCGCAGATTTCTTGAGAGAGAGAGAGAGAGAGAGAGAGAGAGAGAGAGAGNGAGAGAGAGAGAGAGAGAGAGAGAGAGAGAGAGACACGTGTAGGAAGCTGTGCGTGGGAGCATCGGCATAGAGAATGTGCAGATTACGGTTTTGCGTTCCGGGATAAATGAATTTATTATTTATTTATTTATTTTTACCATTTTACGTGAATTGAACGTGTGTGCGTAGATGCTCGTACGTGCGTATGCGTGTGCGTGCCCGAACCCCTTATGTGCAAACGAGTGACTGAATTACTTTTGTGACGCAAGATCGTACGTGACATATGCCATGGGAATTTGGGTGCTGCATAGAAATCGGCATATGTGTCGTTATTGCGAACTTATCATTATCGCACACGCGCATTTCGTGAAGCGTGACTTCTATTGAGGCACGGAAGAAGCTACGGTTCGACAAAAGTGGAGCGTATTTCTCTTTCGTTGAGAATTTTAAAATATAATTCCGGAGATATTAACATCGAACTTTGAAATATTTTAGCAAAATAATCTTCAGGAATGCGCAAATGACAGCAAATTATTTCTCTACTTATTTTTAGAATGAGTTTTGTGATAATATATTATTTTAAGCTTATATTTAGCAAACTAAAGTTGGCTGTTTAAATGTTGTTTAAATATTAAATTTAAGAAGGATGTTTAATCTAATTTAATAATTAACAGAAATTATCTACAATAAATTAATATAATTTAATAATAGGGATAGGAAACTAAAATTAAATACAAGCTATACGAAATTTATATTATATACTTAATACAATATACCGGTTTTTATTACTTAAAAGTATCACGAATTATAATGTACACATATTTGCTTACTTGAATGCAATTTAAATTAAGTGAGATTTATGAGATAACGTTACATAACCATTTTGTCCATGTTTATTCAACTTACGAAATGTCTTCGCGCTTCCGATGCGCAACCTCTTATTCTGCTTTCCGTGAACCTATATTTCCGGTCTTAGTGGTTGAAGCGCGTTTTTCTAAAATTAGAACGAAATGCTGAAAGTAAAATAACACAACCTCATGGCAGTCAGGGTCGTGCCGCGAATGGTGATTGTCTTTGTGCCCGGCCGTAATGGATCTTCATAAAATTTCTGGAATACTGTAATCATCTTCTGAAACTTTCCGCGAAACTTACTTCGGAACCCGATAATAAAGCTATTTTGCTACGAATAGCAGGACAAATTATTTTTGATAGATTTTTGTTCGCTTTAATTGTTGAAACTACCAAATAAGTTAATTGATAATTAATCATTCAAGGCAAAATCAATAAATGGCCGTTATTAAATTGGTTCAGCAAAAAACTTCCACCGTCATTATAATTATTTCAAAGATAATTATTTTAAATAATAAATAATTTGATAATTATTTAATAAGTTTTAAATTTGACAATTGTTGCGTAACAATTTATTTTATTAGAAACTATGTAATTTTATAATGATTCTTATAAAAGAAACACGGATTTTCGATTTTTATATAATAGTAGGAATTTTTATAAAGTTAAAAATTGTTATTAAATTGTGCTGTCTTACAAAATATATAAGATAAAAAATAAGGAAAATTAAACAAATTTCAGTATAGTATATCTTGATATAAATATGAAAATACTTTATCTGTTCAATATGTATTTATATTTGTATATCCGCCGGAATAGTTGAATATCCCGCGTGCATTAACCATATAATTTACATCGTACATATGCACTGATTTGATGGTCACGCTTGTCACAATTCATCACGTTCTTGCAGTTAGGCGCCAGGTATAACTTTTTGCTGATTAACAAATAAATGACTTTAGAAACCGCAACCTCTCAGCGTAGCACGTTCCAGAACTCATTTTTTTCTGTTTCTGCATCTGATTATAGTGTGCAGCACGTGACTTAGATAAGACACGAATTTAAATTTTTATCCTCTTATTGCTCGAATCAATATCGTATATTAGCGAGTGTAATTGCGAGGATAATTGATTAATTTCTAAAAATAGATAAATATTTAAATTTTATTGCATGAGTTTAGAGAACACACGACACTCTCTTTTTAAGATAGTTTTTGAATTAAATCTTTGCGTAAAAAGATTTTCCTTTTTCTAGAATTAAATGAAAAAAATAGCACATTTCTGCACTGAAAAAAGAATCTGGTTGCATTAAGAGGAAATCTGTTAGAGTCAACTAGTATGTCTGTTTGAAAATCGACGAATCAGAATTCTTGTACGATTCACCAGACGAATATGATTAATTTTTTCTTGTTAAATCTACCAGAATTTCTTGGCGATTCGAATTATTTTTCTTGTTAAATATATCAGAAATTTTTGTCGATCGAACAATTCTTTCATGTTAAATATATTAAAATTTCTTTTATTGTGTGACTGAATTTCTCATATTAATATACTTTAGCATATATTAATTTTCAGAAATATAAGATTCTGAATATAAGATTCAGAATTACTATCAAAATTTGATCTCACTTTAAGAGATCTTAAAGATCTCATGATGCTGCATCTTTTATACTATTCCGTAGTGATTCTTAAATACGAGAATTGAATTCGTCTCATGCCCATCTTGTGGCGATAGAGCTACTAATATAACCAGAAATTTTGTAGATCTAACTAGAAAATATTAATTAAATCCGTATAGTAAAGTCTATCAAAACGTTCTAGTAATACAATATCAAATCCTCTTATTATAATCCGAAATTCTGTTTGGTTTCACCAAAATTCATTCAGCCATATACATCTTGTTGGTACAAACAAACCATTTTTCTCAGTGTGGAAGTTGAGTTAAATGTGGTTTAAAGTTAAACGGAGACAGCGGTTATAAAGTTAAATGAGAAGTCGGCCGTAAATTCTCGCAGCAGTCGCACTGAAATGTTTCGCGTCGCGTTGCGGGGAAAGTCGCACGAAAATTCTCAGACGTTAATCGGGCAAATCTCCGCTTTCAAGTGACAGCCAATTTCCGTGGAAAACTCGGTCGTGTCTCTACGACATATCCGTACGCGTGCACGCAACATGCACGTATGCATGCGCCCGCGTACGAGGATCGCAGACCGCCGAGTGCGCTCGCTCGTCTCCTCGGATTAAGTACACGAGATTATACCTGCGTAGCCTAAGATATCTCCGTGGCCGTCTGTGACGATGTTCATTACGTAACGGCGTTAATCAGAGGTAGCGGCTGATCCTGAGCCCGAGCGGCACAAATCCGACGTGGACGTCGGCTCGTCGATGCTCGAGAAAATTAAAAGCCTGAAACTAAATCTCTAACGACCTTGTGGACGTAATACTCCGGCGACGCAGTGGCAAGTTTGAAGCTGTCCGGCCGATACGTCACGAGATTGATAATCGGCCGGCGTTGTACAATTCAATTGGCCGAGATCTTGGCGTGGAATCTTGCTTTGAATGCAAACCTCGATGTACGATACGAAAAAAAAAAATATCAAGTCGCTTCACAGCGACTTCGCATAATTTGCCGGATACATTATGAAAATAAGTCGCTCGAAAGCAAGGCAATTTCACTTTCAAAAACTAAAATCAACTCCGCTTTCTTGCGCGCGTCCGCGCGTTATTTCTTCCCTCTTGTTTTTCTCCGCTAATCCGAGATCTCTTGCGACACTTGCTAGCGGCGTCGCGAATCTGCCGGCATTGAAAATACGGGCAATCATGACATATTAAATTTTCCCCTCGGGTTGATCGCGATCGCGGACCACCGCACATGCATGCAAATGGCAAATAGAAAACACGCCGTCCGCCTGCGACGCCGTTCACCGTGTTTTAATCCGGAAAATCCATCCGTAATTTATCAACGACAAGTCCGCCCGGCCGACGTAATGAGCGTCAAACTCGGACGGTCGGAATTTAATTCGCCTTCGCATCTTCCGGTTTTCGTGATGATCGACGGTTACGTCGCTCAGATGTACAACGCTATTCTGAGCACGCAACGGGGCGCTCGTTATCCAAGCCAACTCGAGCGACGATCAGCCCCGAGGGGAGTAAACGACTAAGTCAATTCCGTGATTAATATCTGCAAATAACAGATAATCGTTGGCAAATATTTCCCAGTTCAAACTGTTAGCCACGAAAGCGTTTAGAGTGCTCAAAAGTTACACAAAAATCATCGAATGTGCACGCGCGAGCGTTCCTCTTATATACGCGAGGCTGAAAAATCGTTATATTGCAAAGACGAAGAAGAGGAACAACAAAACGGTAGATAGATTTTAAACGGAATCTCTCGATGAACTTTCATATTTGCCTCACGGGAACTCCCGGAATCTGGCGAGATCCGAGGTGTCTCTCCTTTTTTTTTTCTCAACGATAAGCCGAGATTTCCAAGGTTCCCTTCCAGCCGCCTACATCTGCGATGCACGCATCACGGGACCGTGTGTGTTCCTCGCTCTGAGAAACACGCTATTGTGACATATCGAAATATCGGGGAGAGGGACGCAGGTAGTCGTGTTTCTTCGTCGGTCGTCACGGATTACCTATACTCGCCCGACGGCGTCTACTCGTTGGCGGAGCAGGCCAAGGCGGCGGTCTTGCAGCCGCCGCCGTCGCCGCGGCCGCGCCGATGCAACATCGGTTGGCGCGTCTCTGTATCGTCACGATAACGAGTTCTCAGGTGTTTACGACCACGCGACGTCATCGAACCCACCTTTACCTTTCCGGCCGTGTACATTCATATGCATTCGTATATATGCATGCGCGGCGTGTTACGGTACGCCACGTTGTATCCTCACTTCGGCACTCCGCGCCTCGCAGCAACGTCGGGAATGGAGTAACCTCCAGCCGAGCCGTTTCCACTGAGTTTCCACGTATTGGCCGGTGTTCTAACCGCAGGTAACGATGCTCTACACGTGCACGCTACGTTCTGAAGATTCCCTCTCTACGCGTGTAATTTATGCAGAGACAATGATAATTCCGAGACAAAAATAGTTTACATACGAATAGTAC